GAATTCGCTCAAAAAATGTTGAAAAGAAGTTTCAGAACAGGGGATAGCAAAATCTTGACATGGGCGAAAAATATGCATCAAAATGAGGTCGGGGGTATCGTTTTTGCAAAAACCTATAATTTCGATCGATATCTATTTGCACCCTCTGAAACGGCAAAAGTTCACCATCGAGTCCTATCTGATAATCTATAACCCAATTCTAACCGCTTTAGCAACACAACATGTTCCTACAGCTTGCTCTTACCATTAGCATCCTAGGCTTCACAGAGCTTCGCTGCATTTCTACATACCTACCGGAGGAAACCGGCTTACTTACCTAAAAACCGACTTTTTGGAGCAGAGCCAATAATTTCAGTTTGCTTTCGATATGTACCATTAAGACGACAGGAAGTCCAAGCGAAACCATTACCTTGCGTACGTTGTGGGAATGTAATATTGCTTCAGTACAATTGAGTTACATATTGGGCCCAGGCCAACTAAGTTCAAACCTCCCTACTCTGGTGTTCCCCTAGGAAAAGGCGGCTAGGAAGAATCCATGCACTTCCTTGTTATATCGCTGGCTACAAGCCATTGCTGTAAACCAAATACACTCCCCTACACGACTATTCTACCAAATGGGAGTGAAATGCGTGAGAGTACCCTGAAATGAAACTGCTCATGAACTTTAACCATTACCCTTTTATCAACCAACAGACAAGATTATTTTGAAGACTTTTCTAGACTTTGTTTATGAAACGTTCTTGTATGGGTAGGGAGGGGGGCGGGGGGAGGGGGGGAGGCTCTTAAGCGATTATAGCACATTATCGGAAGGAATGTGAAAAATTGTCGAGGCGGAGATGTTTTGATAGTCATCCAGGTGATTTGTAATGCATTCCATTGTAAGATGGTGTTTGTTACTGTCATAAAGAGTATGTTCGAATGTACTATTTACCTATCGCACACACGCACCCATCATACGCTCCACCTCTAATCAAAGTCGTATAAACACCCTCGACTGAAATGGGCCTGATAATCTTGTAGGAGTAGAAAAAAGAAACGAATGTGATTAAAAGTTCATCAGAGAAAAAGAAACCAGTTGTGTTCCAACAAAACAAAGTGACGTTTTTTACATATAAATTCGAAGGGAAGGCGGGGATGGCGCCGTGGCAGGAGGCGCACTATCACACGAACATTGTCACTGGTTCGAATTCTGATCGATATCCACCTAGGCTTACTAAGCTTTTCATCCCTCCGAGATTCATCAATTGGTACCAGATCCGTCTGGGAGGATAAAAGCACTAACTTGTACATCTGCTAGCCACGGGGGCGTATCCCTTAGATGAGATTAATTAAGGCTCAAAGACTATGTGCTTCTAATTTCGGATGATATATAAGTTGCAAGGATGGTAGAAAAAGAGATACAGGGACAGCATGGAGCGAGCAAGAGGGATGGAAGGTAATCGATAATGAAGCCCTTTTTTTGAGACAAAAGAACCACCAAAGGCAGTATGCGGTGGGAGCCACCATTGTTTTGCCTCCTTTGGTCCCCTAATACGTCCCTAATTGGAGATTTTTCTGGCAACTGGACGACCGCGGTTCATATACCTTAAAATGGTAACAACGAAGAGGTCATGCCTACGTTCCTGCGAGGCACTCTTGAATTCTTACCAATCAGTACTCCAACCTTCAAACGGCACCAAAATGCACACGAGAAAAGCGAGTCTCTGCTGCAACTATGGTATTGTTGAACTATAATGACGCAATTTTGCGGACCATCTCTGTACGACAACAAGCGCTATCTGCCTTCGCTTGCACTTCCTGACCATGACAACACGTTATGCTATGCAATGACTACTGATCCTTCCCCATTTCCAACTTTTTACACATGATTACACATTCGTCCTCCTAGAAACCGCAAACGGTAATACATTCCGTAGCAATACCTAGATCTGTCATCGTACACAGTCCGAAGCTCCGGTCTTCTGATCTTTTGCGCTCTAGTCTTCGCCCTTAAGAATGGAAAGGAACGCAGAGTAGTTTGAAGTAAAGATTAAGTGTTTAAAGCACCGTCTACAAAATAGAGCCAAAAATAAAATGTCAATCAGTCAGATAATAGAGGACCCCACTGACCGAAGTGAAGACGTATAAAACACGGAACAAGGAAGAGGAAGGATGGTGGAAAAAACATGGACATATGTATTGTGTGACAAGGAAATTGTACTTTAAATGTTGCCTTCGCGTCGGTAGTTACCATGAGTCATGGGGGAAATTGGCACCAAGCGTTACGCGAAGAAAAAGGTGCAGTCGTTGCTAGGAAGTCTACAGAGACATGTCGCTTTCGTCTTGGCAGTCGACTTTTACTTCTGGGAACTGCTCCAGGAAGCAGTGGCGGATCTTCTAAGATGCGCCCCGCATTCGACTTCCAATTAGAATAAAGTGAAATGAATATGATGGTATGATGAATAATCAAAACAGTCTTTTTCCACTAGAATAGGAGGTTGCAATCTTCGGTGGAAGCTTCCAGCGGGCCGAAAGTAGTCGGCAACAACACTCAACCACTATTTCTGGAACGCCGCGTTCTATCTACTGAAGCCGAGTTGGGAAGGGAAGTAGACAATTTCTGCTGCCAATAGCCCCACACATAATAGGCTATTGTAGACGTAGACAGGCCGGCCAGGGAAAAGGCGCCACTAAAAGGAAGTCGATGATGCTGATCTATGAGCCAGTGTACATTCCCGCTACAAATTAAAATTCCGCCTGGCAGTGCTTCCGGGAGCATGACTTTAAATTGCCTCCGCGAGTAACATTCTTGTAAGTTTTGGAATTGATTCCGATTTTTTTATTAACAAAAATGTGAAGCGTCCTGCTTTCAGATGTCATGCAGGCCAACCCATCGCTGACTTTGTTAACAAGCTTCTGATTTTGTCGTGGTTTTCTAGCATTCCTTCTAGCTACAGAAAACAGCTTCCAATGATTGTGGTTGTTGACAGCGACATCGACAATAACTATGCTTTGCCGGTCCATACGATAAACCAGAGGAGCCCCAGCGAGATAGAGGAGATTTCTTACATTTCCTTCTCGGAGATGTTGTCATTGCCTGCCCTCAAAGAGATATTAATGTACAGATGTAGATCTTGCCCCCGTATGGCAACATTCTAGAGACTTCTTCGCAAAATGCTCAAGTCCGAACCATTTTATTCAGACAGATTTCATTATTACGACAAATCCTTTTCTTGATGATCTTTCAGATCCACGAAACACTGGAAGTTCTCGGTCAGCCGACTTTGGGATACGACAAATTATGACCTCGGTTCCTGTATTTCTCCACTGCTGTTCTCACCGTTCCGTCGTCGATAACCATCCTTCTCGTCCATAACCTTCTCGAAGAATATGTTGCAGAATACCCTTATCGGCGAGTGCGTGCTGGTTGTTCGAGGTGGAAGAGTTCAACCCTCCACGGAGGTTGATTCAGGAGCCCGGATATCGAGATGGAAGACAAGTTCAGCCTGTCACTCGAGACATGTGTCATGTAGCTGAAACAGCACGTGTAGTGGACACAGTAGAGTGGGGAGAAGAACTGGAATGAGAATGATCCAAGGCTATACTGGATAAGATTTATACATTCCATCAATTAGAATTTTATAATTGTACCGTTGGATCACAGTATGCATTCTTCACACCAAACGTTGAAAGTCTCGATCTCGGAAAGGAGCCTCTTTACCACTTCATAGCCTTACTAGGAATATATTTGTACCACACTTTGTAGCCGCATAGTAAAAATAGAAGGAGACGAAAGTGAAAAGTGGATTGGGAGGTTATGTCGCATTTTGAAGCGGAGTTTAAAGGAATCGAATTGAGGGAACCCACCGATTTCAGTAACGCTATGCTTGACCCTGCCTAATATCCAACCAATAAAGAACAAGGTTACAAGGTGAAGGTTACTTGATTACCTACCTTGTTATCCACCCAATCACATCCAAGTCGTAATTAGAACAGCAACGAGAGACTCAGATCGGTAAGTTGAGTCTTGTAAAAAAGAAAGGGATGGAGCGAAACGGCTGGTTGGCCAGACCGCATATTAGAGCCAATGGAGAGAATTGGAGGCGAGACTTTCCCAGTGACAGCAGAAAAAAGTTGAATTCTCATTAAAAGGGTAAAACCGGTTCCCCATGAGATATATGATAATTCAAAAAAAAAGGCGTTGCATTGAACTGCTCGGGAAAAAGAATTAGTTCGCTACGTATGTCCTAGACATAGATCAAAGTAGTATATTCCCAGAATCGTGGAATTAGGAGTTTGTAGAAAACTGGAGACATGGAATCAAAAATACAATAAATCCGTGATCCTCAAATTACCCACACCACCATTTGCATTTACAATGAACTGTAGGTGAAAGGTATGTCTGTTATCCTGGGTAATAGCTCGAGAAGCATCGAAAAACCTAGCGGCAGAAGAAATGACGTACCATAGTGTAACCGACAGCAAGAGCCGTCGTACCGAGGGATAAGCAAATTAGAACTGGCAGGTGCTTAAGTAACGAGCAGGTGCACTTTGCCATATAGCCGAGACATTCATCATCAATGAACTGGAATCGAATAATGGAATCGACAGTTTCGAAGTAAAAAGAGGGAAGGCCATTCTTGAAAATCACTTAAGTTGAGAACCACGACTGCTAAAGAAGGTAACACCTGAGGATGCGAGCTACGCAGGTAGCTCAATTCTTCCTGAGGATACAAGCACCACTGCAGGGGAAACGGTTCAAAAGAGAACAATGGATGACAACGAGCGGACGTATAGTCGCAGATCAAGTTCCCAAATAATTTCAGTACTTATGGTTAGGTGAGTTTGATTCATGCCGTAGGTTATACCATCTTGCCATGGGAAAGTACGGTATGTGCCAAAATATATAGTTCTGAGGCGTCTAAATCGGAGGAGAGCACGGCTTCACCGGCACTTGTTCTCACATAAGTAGAGAGAAGGAAGCAACGTTATGCAGTTGTTGTTGGAATTGGGTGTCCTGACACAGGCAAACGTACTCACAGTTTCCCGTTACTTCCGCTTTACGGAAGCGGGAAGAGAGATCGGGTCTATAAAAGTAGGTTGGGCACTGAGTGAGGCAGTTATGGAGTCACTCATTTTGGAATATCACCGTCTGGTAGCACACTATGTCAAAAGAAGGGGAATCTGGTCGACCAGCAACTGTCTCAACAAGGGGGACGCACATTCGGGCACTCCAGTGTGGGTTGCATTCGCTCGCCGGATGCTTCGTCTCGAAGATGAACCGGGTGAGGTAGCGGTACTAGTCCGTTCACCGCACTTCAAAATTATGGCTTATCTTCGTAGCGGATGCATTTCGGACACGCCTGCTTGGAGAGTCAAAATGATGTATTGCGTAGCGTTTTCGGTCATGGCGAAATAGAATCCAGATTCCCTGAACGATGCGTAGTTCTTTTACGAAACGCACATTAATCCTGAATGGTAACATCGATCACTGGACAGCTCGCTTCTTTGGTTTTAAGCGGCCAGATGTTATCGTCCAGAAATCGCTACGTGGTTCACTTGAAATGATATGGCGTCCACTTCTCCACCTTCCTATTATTCCTCTATTTCGTCGTGGATGAGAAAGGCATGTTCACCATTACCGGAGAGAACGGCATTGGTTCAGGAATCGAGCCATTTCTTCAGAGATCAAGAAGGCTTTGCCTTGTGAAGAACATTCAAATGACTAAGCAGCAGTATCAGCAGGACGATGTGACCAGCTGTAGCACTCAAAAATCTTTAGCACTCCTGCAGGAAGCACTCGGAGACCTGTGTCACCGACTTCCAACAACTACCTTGCTCCCCCGATCTGTACCCAATGACTGGGGGCAATGGTAGAGAAGAAAGAGTTCAACAGTGAAACTCCAACTGCGTCAGCAACTATAAAGCAACTCCTCTTGCAGGTGGGTGCTGCAAATTTGTTCCCTGATACCTTTTAGATTCTACCTGAACTACAAAAGGGCAGTGCAAGCTTGAGATGCGGGTTTTTCAAGAAAAATGGACTTACAGACGACAGAGAAGTAGCTCTGGTCATTTTCGATTTCAGTACTGTATATTTTGATACATACTGTGAGTAAACGCTCAAATTTTGGATTAATAGGATTCCGTTGCCTTAGAGGAGTTCGATGTATTATAAGATTTAGCGATGAATAATAGAAAAATGATTGAAAAAGATATGAGCTCCGATTTTGAAGAAGCTTTACAAAATCAACTGCGCAGTTTACGACAATTTTCGAGGTAACTAGTTCTAGATGGGAAATAAAAGTGACAATGCAGTATAGTGCAAAAGTGGCGGAGAAGGTGCGATTTTCGGCGTATTTGGAGGAACATGAGGCTTTCAAAAAGTAGTCGAATGAGGGGTTGGGCGAGAATGTGA